AAGTATATGAATGATAAGGGCTGGCTTTAAGATTTTTTTTATTTATTTCATTATTAATAGTTTTACTTTAGTTTAGAGGATGGGACAGCCAAGATGGACCAATAGGTCCCATGTTGTCCCAAAACATTATGTTATGTTATATCCAAGATGCATAAGATTAAGGTGATATACATCAGCTTTAGACGTATGATGGATGTTTACTCTGTTGTCAGCCCGGCATGGCCAGATGATTAGAGTGCTTGACTTGCAATCTGAGGGTTGTGGGTTCGAATCCCCGTCCTACCAAACATGCTTGCACTTTCAGCTGTGGAGGCATTATTATGTGACGGTGAATCTCACTATATTCGTTAGTGAAAGAGTAGCCCAAGAGTTGGCGATGGGTGGTGATGACTAGCTGCCTTACTTCCAGTCTTTCACTGCTAACTTAGGGATGGCTAGCACAGATCTCTCTCGTGTAGCTTTGCACGAAATTCAAAACAAACCAAAAACTCTGTTGTCAGAGATTGGCTGAGTGTGTATCATACAGTACAGTTTCTACACATCAGTGGCTTACAGCCAAGATGCAGTGTTGGAAATTCAGCCTTACAACCTTGTCACCAGTGTAAAAGCTTTTTGACCCCTATAATAGAAACTTTACTTGCCAAATGAGAATGGTAGTCAGTACTGTTATTCATTGAAAACCTGACTGAAAAGTTAATTTTCAAAAGAAAAAATATTTATCCCACCTTAAAATGCAGTGTGTGTGTGGGATTTCATGTGTATTGACATAGAAAATACATGAATAAGTTATAATGTGTTCAACATAGGTCTGTGGTATTTACCCATCTGTCCAGCTATCAGAACATTTCATGTAGTATGAGCTAGATTTTCTAGTATTCATTTGTATATAACAATAAACCCTTTACAGGCAGAAATTACTACATTTTTACCTGTAAAAAAACCATTATTGTGTTGCAAGCATTCCCATTGGAAGAGCCATACGAATTACGTAGCAGTGTCTTATACTACAAAAACATTGCTTCGTAGCATACTTGACAGTTTTGTTTTAATTTTTTTTGTCCCCCATTATGGTCTCCTAATAATTCTACAATGTCAAAATGTTAAGACGTTTGTTTATTGACTTATTGAATATGAGTTTTAACTGATTTGTATATTAAATAATATACCTACTCTCTCAGAGAAGTCATTCCCCTTTCATTGGTTACAACCAAATTAGTCATTGTTAGTTTGTAACAATTCAGCCACTGGCTACAAAATATGTTGAAAGATTGGAAAAGAATCTTGCTTTTAAACACTGTGTTAATACTGCAGGTTATAACTGTTGGAAAATAATCTTGCTTTTAAACATTTTGTTAAGACTGCAGGTTATAACTGTTGGAAAAGAATCTTGCTTTTAAATACTTTGTTAATACTGCAAGTTATAACTGTTGAAAAATGTTGCATTATGGTACATCTTCTTAGTGTTTGGAATATAAGTTTATGTTGTTATTTATGTGACAGTAAACATACATGTTTTTTAACTTGTCTTATTATGTTGAAAAAAGTATGGTCCTTCCCTACCTAGTTTCATTAACCTAAGCAGTGTAGAATTTTACCTTAGTGTCACAATATGACAATTCTTTCATGGCTTCATTACCTATTATCATTAGACTAAGTTCAAACTATGTAAAATAGCCTCACGACTTGATTCTGTGTGCACTACTCTTCATGGTTGGGATGACATTATCATATCCAAAACATAACCCAGGTTTTGGTCAAATTAAACCACCTAATTTTACCCCAAACCATGATACTACTTCCTTGACTTTTCATTCACTGTCATATCCAAAACATAATCACATTTCTGTCAAATCTAAACCCATCCATTCAGATCTTCCTTTGTATTGACTTGATTATTTAGTCTACTTGCCTTGTCATAAACTTACTTTTTAGTAGTATATATGGTAATGTAAATTTATGGGTGTGTTGGGCTAAGGATTCTTCTACTAGGTGTCTGTGACTTGTTGGTGATAAATTCAACAATAAATTAACAGCACCCTTCACTTGTTTTTTAAATAATATATAGTGTCACGCCACGTTTCTGGAACTATCTTGTACCTTGGCGAATGCTCTAGCATTTACTAGATATAGGGTAGTCTGGTATATATATAAGAGGGTGACAGC